CCGCGCTTGGTGCGGCCAGCCCGGGGAGCCTCCCCCCGGAGAACCCGCAAGTGCTTTCACCGATCAAAAGGTGTCGGCCGTTTTTAAGGGCACCCTTAAGTAGCTCAGACGAAGAGCGGGTTGCAAGTTCTTTTGTTCCTAACAGTCATTATTCAAATAACGTGATGATTTTCTCCTCTCGGTGTAATCTGAGTTTATTTATGATGCTGCTAAGAGTTGAAAAGAAGCCCAGGCGCTCAAGGAGATGGAATGATTCTAGCAAGCCAGACAGTGACAATTAGTACAAAGTAGATCATGTGGGACAAAAGCCAGATAGAACTCCAGAGTTTCTGAAAATTGGTAGGAGTTTTGGAAGTCTCACTTCGGATACCTAACGAGGCAGAGTGTGGGTGTCCCAGGTGGACAGCCAGAACTTGACAAAAATTAATAGTTACGGTTTCAGTCTGTAATGATCAAACCTCTATGCAGTGAATGCAGGACTAGAGCCCCGTAGCCCCGGGTCTGAAGCTGTCCACATACCAGAGGGATGTCGTGTTCCTCCAGGACCTGGATTCTCCCTTCTCAACCGCAGTTTGTACCCAGCTCCGGCTTCCCTGGGGGAACCGGTGCTCCCCGCGGGCACGTGGTGCCAGGCAGCCCCTTGGCAGCCAGAAACTCGCGTCTGGGGGGACTCTGCACAGCTGAATGGGAGAGGGATGGGGGAGGAGGGTGGGGGGGAGTGTGCCAGGGTGCTGCCCACCTCAGCTTGGGGTGTTCTCACCTAGAGCAAACAAATTCCCAGCCACTCCAAATTAAACCATCAGTGGACAATCTTGTGAGTAGAATTCCCAGATATACTGGAAAACTTGCTGATTTCCAAACTACATACAAAGATTCAGATTCAGCCTATTTTCCGCTTATTTTTGCTTCTCTCAGCAGTCCCTTGTCTACAAGGTATCCCTCAGGGTGGCAGAGTCACTCCTAGCGTGGTTTGCAGGGAAGGGGGGCACAGGGAGATGCTGTCAGGACAAAATGAGGGCAAGCTGATGAGCAGGAGCAGAGGAATGACTGAGCAAGACACTGGGGCTAGACACTGCCAAACACAAAGCATGTGGTAATATTTTCCAGATAACATTTCATTTTTGCCCCCTCCTTTTCACTTGCAGTTCCTATTTGGGATTTCAGCTCACTAGTTTTCTGTTGCAGTGTGTACAAGTGTCTCCTCAGGGACACCGTTGCTGCCTGGCTCTGCCAGCCCATCGTGCAGAGGAGCAGGAGCCCCGTGACGTCCCGCTGGCTCACGCGGTGACGTGGCAGAGCTGCCACCGGTGCGCGGGTGTCAGAGCCCCCGAAGGTGGGGCTCAGCACCCCTGTGAGCAGGGACCAGCCCGACCCACCTCCTCCTGCCTGGCCCCTCCCCGGGCTGTGGTTGGCAGGGAGGACCAGAGCCACTAACACTTTCACTGCTGGTTTTGGTACCCTTTCACTCACTGATTTCCTCGCCCTCTTTTTCCTACCAGAATCCATTAGCTGGACACAAGAGAAGTAGTTTGGATTCCCATGTAGGCTATTTTTCTGAAAATCACATTTTCACAGGAAAAAGCAAATGGCAGAGCTCCAGAACTGTGACAGGGGTGAATGAGCTGCAGCTTTGCTGAAATGCTCTCTGTGTCATGCAGTGGAGCTCCATCAGCAGCTCGTGGTTTCGCTGTCTGGAGTGAGCGCGGTGGGGAGCGCACGCTGCTCGCACAGGGTCTCGCTGAGACAGCAGAGTCCTCTAACAGATCGTGCTGCTTGTAAGGGAGAAGATGCCATGCATCCCAAATCAGTGGCAGGACATTTTACTTCCCACCAACCTGTAAGTGCATTGATGCTGTCTTATGGTTATATCCCTCCTTGGGAAATAAAATCTGTTGCTCTGTCAGTCACCTTGAGATCCCGTGTCGTTTCCAAAGGGGGGAGGGAGGACTTTGTTGTTTGGTTTGGTTGTTTTACTTTTGTCTAATTAGGACCAGTTGTTTTAGTCACTTATTAGACTGTCAGAAACTGCTGCTTTATCAAGGCAGTGCTGTGTGGTTTGGATGTATGCTCCACTTACAAATGAAACGGCTTGGTTCTGGTATTGTTAAAATAAAAAGTACAAAAATCCCACGACTTTCAATTTCGTGCCAGATATTCAACAAGGCGTTTGTTCCCTGGGTCATTAGGTTGTGGCTTGGGAAGCAGCAGGCCTGCTCGATGCCTGACGGTGCTGCTGGCACGTCTGGAGCCGCTGCCCCGCTGTCCCGGAGCGGTGCCGGCGTGCTGGCACGTGTCCCCATGTGTGGACTTGCAGCTGCACGGGCTTCCCTTTGCCTCTGTAACCACCCGAGTTTGGGAAACTGGTTTGAGCTGTGCCTCTCCTGGGGAGATGGGCTGTACAGGACCTTCTGGAGTGCTGAAAGGTCCGTGAGTATATGAGAGAAAGTTGTCGTGTTGTGTTCTCTGGACAGTTCCACCAAAAAGACTCCTGGTTTGGGGCTTTTTGTTTGGTTTTGAAGGAGGCTCAGGGGAAACATCGTTGTTCTCTACAACTGCCTGAAAGGAGATTGTCCTAAGGTGGGGGATTGGTCAAGTGATAGGACAAGAGGAAACATCCTCAAGTTGCGCTAGGGGAAATTTAGGTTGGACATGAAAAAATTCTTTCCCGCAAGGGCTGTGCCAGGCTGCCCAGGGCAGTGGTGGAGTCCCCATCCCTGGAGGGCTTTCCAGGCCGTGGAGATGTGGGGTGAGGGACACGGGTCAGTGGGGACCTGGCAGTGCTGGGGGAACAGTTGGACTTGATAGCCTAAAAGGTCTCTTCCAACCTGTGCTTCTATGATTCTTTCTTGTGTTACAACAGCACTTTGGGGAGTGAGTGAAAATCAGCCCCCAAGTTCTCTATGCTCTTGTCTTGGCTCCTCTCTTGTTGTCTGCCAATCTGTTGTGTACATCTCATGCCCTTGTAACAAGTGAAAGGCTAAATCAAGTCCTATGCCAGGCGTCAGTGGTGCTGAGCCCCTGCTCTGGGCAGAGGCACCCGCCAGTGGGGTGGGCAGCGTGGGCTCAGAGCTCACCGACAGGTTGGGTTCTGCCACTAGCGTGCCAGCCCTCTGAAGCTGTTGTCTCCCCTCTTTGGGGCCTGTCTCCCCACTCTTTATTTTTCCTACTACGTTCAGCCTGTAGCTGAACCCTGATGCTTTTCCTGGGGTGCTGGCACCGAGGTCCCTCTTCTCCACCTTCTGAGATGGTGACAAATCTCCTTTATTTATTTGGTCACGTCAGTGACCTTTACACTATTTATAGACAGTGATCATGCCCCTCCCGAGATGTCTGCAAGGTAAATTTAGCTCCCCTAGCTCCTCGCCACCCGTCCTCGCTGGCTTTCCTTGCAGCAGCTCCCGGGCGCCGCGGCGGAGGGTGACTCACGCTGTGTGCTCGGCCGGGGCAGACTTCATCCCACATGAATCTCGCTCGCGCCGAGCCTGGGGAGCTTCCAAGTGTCTGCTTCCAAGAGGCAGCCGGCAAGGGAGTGGTGGGGATTAGGCGGGAGAGTGCAGAAAGAGCCTGCAGAGGAATGCTGCTGAGGGACGTTGTGTGCGGTGCCTGGGAAGGGAGGGGGCTGTGGCAGGGGGAACTGGGGGGTCCCCACAGCCCTGTGATCCACTCCCCTCTCTGCTGCTAGAGCCCTGCAGGGGACAAGCATCCCAGCCAAGCTTCTCCTCCTCCTGAGCTGTGGAGCAGCACAGCTCTGACTGAAGGGCACAGTTTTTCTAGGTGGTTCAGGCTGCTCAAGGTGGTGGTCTTCAAGAGAGAGTTTTCAGGTGCTCACTGTTGCTGGTGGGTGTTCAGAAGTTATCAAGTTTTGCTCCCAAGGCTGGCTGAACTTCTGTCCTGCTTTGATCAACAAGGTTATGAGAAAAGCAAAATGAAGATCGCTCTAGTGGGGGTGGATTTTATTCCCTTTCTGTCATCACAGTGAGAACCCACGTAGAATAAGCAGAAATGAACAGGCAGCCCCAAAATTCCAAACTGCTCAGTTTTGTAGGTTCAGCTTGAGCTGGTTGTTCTCGGCAAGACACGGGTTCCATGTGCCCCGTGAGGTGCCCTTGCTGAAGGTGCAGACTGGGGCTCCACTGAGGCTGGGGTGGCTTTGCCATTAACTTTGGCTGGCTGCTGGTTCACCTCGGGAAGGCTCCGGATGGTGTTTTTGAGGGAGGTGGAGTTTTTGAGCTCCTGCCAGAGCAGAAACTTCTTCCCAGAGAAGGGCACGCTGCTCATCCTAAAAGTGTTGAGGCTGGCTGTGACCTCTCTGCCTTCTCTTCCTCTCCTCCTCAGGCTCCCTGCCCTTCTCCAGCTGCAATGAGCTGCCAAGAGAGCGAGTACCGGGATGAGCATGGGAAATGCACTCCCTGCAGAAAGTGCATGTCCGGGCAGGAGCTTTCCAAGGTAAATGGGCTGCTCTGGAAGGACCTGGAATCATCCAGCACTGAGGCTTTTACAGTGCTAGGTGAATCCTCTGCCAGCCTTCAGGACGATAATCTTAGATCCTGGCACGTTGGGAAGAGCTGGGGCTGGGTGGGAGGGTGAACAGGTTCCCTCACCCTGGCCAGAAGGGCGAGGAGGAGGAAGGGATTTTGGGGTGCTGCCCGCTTGCCCTCTTTCCTTTTCCCGGTGGGAATCAGGGTTCACTCCCGAGCAGAGCTGCCCAGCCTGGCTGCTCGCTGAGTGGGTGTGAGCAGGACGTGGCTGCGAGGTGGGTCCAGCCTGGCCTGGGCTGTGGGACTGGTGCTTCCCAGCCAGGTGCCAACGGTGCCCAGCCCCCAAGCAGGGCGTTGCTGCCAGAGCTTTCCTCCTCCCAAACCATGGCCGGTGGGCCCCGGCTCGGCAGCGAGGGGTCCCCTGCCCGGCCCCAGCGGGGCTGCTCTGCTGGCAGCTGCTCTCGGCTGGGTCCTGGGGACCCTTTGCCCCAAAGGAGGGGTGCCCTTCTCCTCTGTACCGCTCCGGGACCTGAAGTGGCTCCGTGCCGTGCGCCCCACCCCGTGTCTTGCAGGACTGTGGCTACGGCAGCGGGGGGGATGCGCAGTGCGTCGCCTGCCCTCCCAGGAAGTTTAAGGACAGCTGGGGACATCACGGCTGCAAGCCCTGCCTCTCCTGCACCCTCATCAACCGTGTCCAGAAGTCCAACTGCACGGCGACGGCCAACGCGGTGTGCGGGGAGTGCCTCCCGGGGTGAGCGGGGCCGGGGCCGCCTCCAGGGCAGCCGTGGGGGTCACACCCAGAGGTGGGGGGGACAGAGGGAGCTTTATCTGAGACCACCCAGAACATGGGAGTAAGGGGAGACTCAGGGCTGCTCTTTGAGGACACTGCTGATGACATACGAATCAGACCCACCCAGTGGCCTCCTTGTAGCTCCAAAGAAGGGAACCTGGAGTCTCCTATGAACAAGCAGTGGAAGAAGACTCCTTCCAAGCTTGAGTTGTTCCTGTGGACACCAGGGTGGCTAAGCCCTGGAAGATGGGTGACTGTAGACCCCTACAGTTGGTGATCCCCAGAGAGGAGGACGGGCTGTGGTGAGGGTACATGTTGCAGAAATGAAGAGTGCTGCATACAGGCAGCCTGTGAAATGCCTGGTGGCTGCAGACCGTGTGCTGGTGGGCAGTGGGACTGCTGGGCAGTGGGACTCGGCACAGAGGAGTGAGTCAGGGCTCTGGTCTGTGAGCCTCTTCCCAGACACAGCTGTAGGCTGAGGTGTTTCTGTGCCTTCGTGGAGCTGTTAATCAGTGTCGCCCACTTTGGCAGACACTGGGCGGGATGGGGGGAGGCTGTTTCAGTGATGTCTCTCCTTGACAAAAGTGGCTAGAGATGGAAAAAGTGGCTGTGGGCAGGGCTCCCACCAGCGCCGGAGACCCCGCTGGGCCAGGAGCAGGGCTGGGGGGGCTCCGTGCCGCTGAGACCCTCTGCTCTGTCGGCAGGTTTTACCGCAAGGCGCGGCTCAGCGGGCAGCTGGACTGGGAGTGCATCCCCTGCACCAAGCAGACGCCCTCCTCTGAGCCGCAGTGTAC